ACCCCATAATGAAACAGGGTTGAACTTCAGTATACCCCATAATGAAACAGGGTTGAACCTCAGCAAACCCCATAATGAAACAGGGTTGAACTTCAGTATACCCCACAATGAAACAGGGTTGAATTGCATACTGATGGCTTACAATGAGATAATCACAGATAGTCATTTTGAACTTTTTGGAAATTGATTCAATCGAAAAGTAAATGAAAATGATTTGTTACTTTATAAGTGTGGTGGTCTTCTTGTCACACATGTGCAAGATTTGTGTTGATAAACAGTGATTTGTCTGCAACTGGATGCACCTTCCCAGTGGCATATATGAATGCAAGTTTTGATCTGGCAGTCATTTGCAGTCAATACAGACATTTCAACCATTTCTCATGTTTTCATTTTGATCTGCACACAATCAAAGCCACAATCTTTGTTAAATTAGGACTTGTATCTTGCACATGCAAGTCGCATCAATCATCACCCATTAATGGTACTTACTTTGTAGTATGCATAACTGATGGTGTATTCTGTCCTGGTCTACCTTCAATACCAACTGCACACTGCAATAAACACATAATATCCTATCATAAGTGACCACAGTACATCAATTTGCATTAATAGTTCAAACATTTTGCTTCATGGTATCGTTTGATGCAGTTTTAATTTTTGTGTTAGATCAGTTCAATGTTAACATTTAATATAACGCTTTTAAAATACATGCATGAAAAGTTGATTCTGATCAACAAATAATACTGTGCAAATATTTCCAAATTCAACCTTATGTGTGCGCGCAAGGGAACGGGGGTGGGGGGTAAAGGTTTAAAGTTATGTGATCTGATGATGTGCACGAGAGTTCTCAGTATTTTACTACCGTAATACTATGACAAATTCTTATGATTAGATAAGCATTATACAAAGAGGAATTATGGAATCTTAAATTAATGACAAGCATACATGTACTGTAAAATACTTTCTTTGAGCTGCAATAAATTTTTGTTGAAGACTTTTTTGTATGGTGTTTAATTTTACTGAAAGCATATTGAAAAAAAGATGTACGGTATTCGCTGAATCCACCATTCATCAAAAATGGCCACCAAGTGAAAATAAAGTATTCCTATTCTTTTATAAATCACTGCAAATACAGTACTAAATACTTGAAAAAGGTGTTAAGAAGAATTCAAAAATACCATTTTTACCAAAAATAGATAATTGTTGGAGATGATATGACGAAATGAACAAAGATAGCTACATACCAGGTATCAAAGCAATTGAGATGGTAATTTTCAAGAAGAAGTTGAAAATGCAAATGTTGATGAATGATGGACATTCACCTATATGAACAGCTTTGCTCTGTCATCTATTATGACAGTGGAGCTAACACATTCAGTTGCTTATTGCACACTCACATATAGTTAATCCGATAGAATTTGGTCTACAAATGATGGAGTATTTTTATTTATTTCTATCTATTATGATCTGTTTAAATAGGCAAGTCTTAATACAGTACAATAACTTCGCAATTTAGAACAGAAAATTACAAAACACTAAAATACAATAGTACCAAACTAGTAAACAAAATATTAGTTACCCTAGTTTCCACATCAGTCCAATCACCACTAGATGCTTCTTCTTCAGCAGCAACAACAGGCTGTGATGATCTACGTTTACGATTGCTAGTTGGAGATTCTTGCTTTAGTGTCTCAATATCAGTGAATTGCACAGCATGTCCACCACCTCTTGTTTGAAATACATCACCCTGTAATATCAAAAATAAATAATGAAAGCATCAGTATTAGTTACAGATTGGACACGCCAAGGAGCTGAATTCATCAATCAGTGATAAATTATATCATGTCGTAGATTAACTGACAAAACATGCAACTTTGTGTTCCATTTACCATGAATATGTATCAGAGCGTGGGCTGTTGTGTCTGCTTTTATCAACATTGAATACAGGTTGAAAGTGGGAATTCTGCCAAGATATAAAATAGTGAGACGACAGCCAAATAAATGAATTTGCTGGGCAAAGATACACTCCTGGTAACGCTTCAAATTCATCAATATTTTTTATTGTTTTAAATTCCTGGCAGATGAGACTGACACTTGAAAATGAGCACCACTGACTTGAAGTGCCACAACAGGTGGCAGGATCATGGGAGAGTGTCTAAACATCACAGGATTGTTTTTATATTCATTATTCGTATTCCGATTTGGATGGTTAGCCCGGCAAGTATTTCATGTAATGTTTTGTTTACCTTAATGAGTTGAGTTTCCATTTCACCCTGTGAATCTTCTTCTTGGTGTGTTAAGATATATTTGTCAGCCTTCATATCTTTCTGTTTAGGTATTGCTACTGTTTTCTTCTTTTTGATGTTTGGTTTTAACACAGTCTCTATAAATAAACCATGTGGAGATGTGAGTTGCAAACTTTTCCTGGTAACTGTGCACTGATATACCACATTTGTTCAAATAAAAACAAGTCTCCAGCAATTGTGTTTTGAGGAATTTTTGTGTACACTCATTCAGTACAACATTTTTTAACAGGACACTCATTAAATATATACAAGAACCCCCCCTTCCCATTTTGGTCATTACAGTGGGCATATTTAATAAGTGTTATGTCTTTTAATAATGTGTTTTAAAAACTAAACCATTCAGCGAAGCGACTGCAATTTTCAAACTAGCAAGGCAATTAGCTGACTGAATGGCTAACTAGGAGTGTATAGGTGTATAAATGTATATATGCACATTTTTCTAGCTACATTCATAATTTGATCTTTACAGCGAGCACCAGAATAAAGTATTTAGGAAAACCATAAACTCTGTAAACATCAATCAATACCAAGACAGTATTTCTGATCAGTTTATTTCAGAATCAATAACGAAGCAGGTTTTGAAGGGACATCCCCAAAGCTACAAAGCAACTTGGAGAGTACTCACCAGTTTCTAATGTGGTACCTGGTTTGTGATCAATCCATACATCAGAGTTAGTTGACTTAGATCTACGATGCTTCAGACGTACAGGTGGTATATGTGATCTTGAAGGAACTGGTGGAGGAGATCTTGACTGGTATCTACCAGGGGTTTTTCCTTTGTTATCACCAGAAGTCTTACTACGTGTGTGTGGTGGTCTTGGGGCAGTTCTTGGTTTTCGTGTGGTTTCAACTACACCACTATCAGAGTCATTCGGAGTACCTACAATCTCTTTCAGTTGACGTAGTTTCTCATCCTTCACCCAGATTTTACCTTGCATTTCAATCTGAGTAGCTTTTACTCTTTTTGCCTAAAGTTCAACAAGCAGAATAATCATTAAAAAATGTGGGTAATATGAATAATTTTTATATTTCGCAATTGCTGATATTTAGATTAAATTGTTAGTCACATATATACATACTGCTTAATTATAGTTTACTTACACACTCTTTCTCCCATCTGTTATTTTCAGACTCCATGATACCCTTCATTGCTGCTTGAACTTTCTTTTTCTCATCTCTCACTTTATTCAAGTCTCTTTGTTTTTGTGAAACCTGTAAAGCAGTCAAGAATAAAAACATGACTCCAATTAGTAAATTTCTTGACTCGCTAATACACTACTTATCGGGAGGTAGTTTACACTAGTAAGTATAATGCTCAACATATATGCAATGCATTATGAGATACAGCTTCCTATTGTATATAATAGAAAACACATCTTACTAGAATCTCACAAAATTATTTGGCAACTTTTTAAAATGTTTGACAATATTAAATCTCGATAATATACAGCTTTTCATTTCATGTCACAAAAAATATAAAAGATATCAAACAGTCTTTATTCAGAAACCAGTTCAAAAATGTATCTAAGAAATTATTTGTTTTTATTTTCAGTATTGTGATGGGATGAATAGTAAAAGCATGACAAACATTACATATCTTCACTTCGGTTAAAATCGAAATTGTGACATAGCTATGTCTAAATGAAATGGCATTAATTGGTTAAGAGTGAGTCATGTGATGAAGAAGCTGTCCAACTATCCATACTGTATTACACAGAATTGATAAAAGAATACAAAGTAGATGACTGTGACTCACTTTCTGTGACATGTTCTTTGAAATTCTACATAAATGAACACATACAATTAGTCAGAAAAGTACACTGAACCAACATAAAATTTTCAGCGTTGCTGTAATTATTTGTTAACAATTTTACCTGATTCTGTAGATCTCTGAGATCCTGTTCATATAACTGTGTTTGCCGATGTAACATGGTGTTTGTAGAATCAAGGTTTTTTATTTTCTTTTCATGTCTCTGGATTTCTTTATCTTTACTTGCAAGTTTGCTTTCCAACTGAGAACATCTGTTTTTTAAATCTTCATGTTCTTTCTCAAAGTCTATTACCAGCTGCCTGAAATCGGAATCTGGTGGTGAAAAAGGAGAGAGTTAACACCACTCAACTTTGTGACATTTGATTACTGATTCACTGTTCTCCCAAGAATACAAACACTGCCTCATTGGTCTGACACTGCCAGTTATTATCCTGTTGCCCAAATAGTTTATTTCTATCTATTGTGTGAATGTTTCAACGAGTATGTCAATCATAGGAACTTCCAGATTCATTTCTGGAATAATTATGCAATTTGTTAAAGCCAGTGATTAACATTTTTGGAGAGAACACTTATTTACTCAGAATACTATAACTTGAGTGTACTTACAAACTTCTACCGTAAATGATGCACTTTACCGGTTTGCTAAATTACAAAATAAGATGCATAGATTTACTTTTGACACATGCAATTTGTAGCAAAACCTTTTTTTGGTCTTATTTTACTTGTATACACATTGATATACCGGTACTTACGTTTTCTGCTCAAATCATCCAGAACAGTATTTCTTCGTTTTATTTGTTCTATTAGGAAAGTTATTAGATTTCTATGAGTTGTATCATCACTGGGGTCAGTCACCTACAAGAAATCAAATGTATTGAAGGTTACAAATATAGAACAATACATGGGAGGTATGACAATTGAAAATGAATGGCTTGATATGAAAAAATAAAGGAAGTGGAGAACAAAGTCAACTGACAACTTTAAAAGTATAATATAAACAAGTCATTGAAAATGATACAGTCCCTGTTAAATTTTTGAAAGTTCTTTTTGTGCTCATCATATTAAAGCGGAGGGATTGTCGCAAGCGTGTCCTTGAAACTTGAGTTCCAAGTGACGTATACAACAGATTGTTTATTTACATCAAAACGCGTGTTCCGTGTAGTAGTAATATGGCCAAAAATAAAAACAGTCGTTATTCGGCCATCTTTGATCTGATTATGAAACACACTGATATGTATGATGTATGTGCCAAATACGAATGAAAATGATACATAAATTGTGGAAATATAGTAGTAAGGCCAAAAAGTCAGCTGGCTGTCAATCGGCCATCCTTGACCAGATTTTGAAACAAATTGTCATGGACATGCATCCTAACATGTATAAAGTACATGTATGTACCAAGTTTGAATGAAAACTGACAAAACATGTCCAAAATACAACATTTTCAAAAAACCAGATGGCTGCCAGTCGGCCATTTTGAATCGAATCGCTAAACCACTGCATGTGCATATGTCCCACATAAAGTACTAGGGCCATGCAAAGAATGAACGGAATCGGTCCAAGGGATTCTGAGATATGACTCTGGACTGACGCAGGGACGGAGACCGAATTACAAGTCCCCGTTTTCGGACTTTGTACGAACGGGGACTAATAACAAACTACTAAAATTTACGTTTGTGTACATCGTACAGTGAAAATATAGTCTGAAATGCGTATCATCAAGGACATTACTGAAGCATTTTGAGAAGACATTTTGGTATATGTTAACTTGTAAAATAATTTATAAAAATTTGCATAAAATTGTGGTAAACCTAAAATCTAAGTAATGGAGAGTGTAATTTACCTGTAGTGGTGGGAATTCTGGCCATGAGAATGGGATTGGTGGTAATACCGGCAATTCAGCATTTTCATCATTTTGAACTCTACTAAGGGCTTCTTTGTACATTTGATTAGCTGAAAGAAATGAAGAAAAATCTAATGTGATATAGTACATGAATTAGGCTAGTGGTTTCAACATGTTTAATGTTGAAATAAAGTGAATGAAATCTTTTGAGTCATCTTAATTTTGAATGTCTAAAACTCACCTTGCCTTCGCCCTGGAGTCAAACCAACATCAAACTTAACAGTTGTTGATCTTGTGATCTGTACTTCCTGAGTGACCTCAGCAAACCGCATCACATGCTGAAAAAAGGAAATACAATTCACATGTCAATTACAACGATATCTATCCAGTTTTACACTCAAATTCAGCATGGATAACTTATTTCGAGAATATTTATCGGTTCTGAAAAGAAAACATTTGGAGAGTCAGTTTGTTCAAACAAGACTTGACAGCACCAGTAGGTTATCTTGATTTTTTGGAATTTCTCAAATGACATACAATATACACAAGAAATGAAGAAGTCATTTTATATGTACTCTAGATTTACAAATTGTCATATTGATCACCTTATAACACAGCATGCCATCAAATGTCACTTTCAAGTTTAAAAGCAAGCAAACCAATGTATGCAAGCCATCTAACTGACTGTTCGAATAATTTTCAGAACCTTTGTAAATCAGTTTGTATAAAAAAAAAATATAGCAGTATTTGTTCAATCATTCATGAAAACATGATCATGATATACAGTACTCATTTCGCCCAACCTACCACCTGCTTCCGCTTTCCAATAGTTTTTTTTTCGCTCGGTTTTGCGGCCGGAATTTCTTTGCTATATCACTGTCTGGAAACATCCTTCGAAATAACTGTCCGATATCATCACAACTTTTATAACTGTAGTGCAAATTAACTCATTAAATTTCATTGCCCACAAAACTTCTGCTGTAAGACTTGCTGTGTCCATACCAGAGTGAGCAGTGAGTGTGTTGCTCGTTACTTCGGGTCTATTAACCTTAACTGTCACAACATCAGCTAATTTCCAGTCGATGTTGAAGGCACAGCTTTCACAAAATCAAGCATACTGAAGTTCTTTAATAATTTAGCCACATTTTCATGACTTTTGAGAGTACTGATGCCCATGCTAGCAACGTCAAAATTTACCTTGCAAACCGAACATCTGGCTTCGTACTGTGATGACGAACTTCGCATAATCCACTTCCCATATACTTTGCGACTCAACCACAAATCCCGAAACTTGGTTTTCCACATACCAGAAAAGTCAAGTGAGCAGAGCAGAATTCGAACAAACTAGGCCGTGGGTCGGAATTTTCACACAAAAAGACTGAAACGCCACTGATCACGTCACACAAATTGCCTCCATTACTTTTGCGCATGCGCATTATGGCATGTCAAAATGGCTGCTCGTCTCGTCTCGATTCGAAATGAACACCCTTTTTCAGAGTCACCACATCCCCCAATATTAACATTGTTTACATTTATTTATTTCCTTTTTGCGATCCATGAAACAAAAAACATACAACATTTCCCGGGCTTGTCTAAGTACGCACTGAACATGTTTCTACAACAGCCAATCAACAAGCCGAATTCACGCAGCTCATGACCTTACGTTGCTGTGACAACCAACATGACCCCTAAACCGACAGACTTCACAACAGATCGACAATCTTCAATTTATAATCAAAAGACGTAGAGGGAAAAATGGGAGAGTGGCCAATAATATTAAAAAATGGTGAAATTCAAGGTTTTTCCCAGATTTTAAATAAAGCAAAATTTCAAGGCTTTTCAATGCCTGGAAAAGTGATTTTCGAAATTCTAGTATATTCCAGGAATTCAAGGCTGCGTACGAACCCTGTAGAAAAATCTTGTCTTTTGGTAATAATTTTGATTGTTTGTAATGTCTGTCGACCGTGTCCCAATAATTTGTTTGGAATATTCCTCATACTTAGTTTAGAACGGGCGACGCTCCAGACATCTGGCATTCAACACAATCAGCCGAGACGGAACAAACATTGACAGTAATTCATGGGGATCATGTCCTGTAATTTGTGGCTGAAAACCCAAATAATTAAACAAGCATTATTATTATATACATTTTATTTTACATCGTGAAACAACAACAGAGCTAGAGTTGTTCCGGTGAAACAGCCGCCTTGAAGTCGATCCAACTTCAACTAGCCATTTCTTACCTTGGTATCAACAAAATAAAGAGCATCGGGAATATATTTATAATCATTCTTAGCAATCGCTAGCTTTATTTTATTTGAATTTATAAAATTCATGAGTTTTTCGTCATTTGTTGGCAACTTCTGTGCTAAAAACGGTGTCGATTTACATAGCTCAAAATTATTCACTGAAATACATTGGTATATTTTGACAAACGGGTAGGATTTGATCTCAGTTCAAAAAGAAAAAAAGTCCATAGCGAATCAATTTTCTTTGCAAGTTGTGAAATAAGGTAAACCAGGGTAGGGTCGATGATTTTCAGTATCGAAGGACTTCTGTTTGAATCCTGATTTTTGTATTGTTTATCGACTGGTCACCAAATATTTACGGCTATAACGAAATTTGAACGATACAAGTGTCATACAACTATTAGATTTGAAGTGTGGTTCAGAATTTAATAATAGTTGTATTTTCACACTTTAATATCAAAACCACCATTTCGACCACTCATGTACCAGTGATCTTTGTTTGGGCGAGCGGTCGTGTTTCCAATAATCGAGCAAAAAAAAAAAAAAAATTAAAAAATTAAAATGTGTTTGGTTTCCGGTAGGAAATTAAGCGCTAAATGTGGAAGGTTGAGCGAAATGAGTACTGTATATTAGATAAACCCAAGGCATGTTATTTCATCAAAAAAATAAATCAGCCAGAAGAATATAAAACATTTATAAAACTGTTCAAAAATGCTCCCAAGTTATTGCTGCAGTTTTAGGGTTGATAATTACCAAGTTCTCATCATAGTCGACTGCTGCAGGATTAACACATACAATCATTCGTACTTTTCCTTCACCATCAAAGTAGTTTTTAAAAAGATGTGTCACTTTACTGTCTCTGTATGGCACCATCTGAAAAACAGTTTAAAATGTATGAAATTATAAGAACAAGTTATGTAGTGATTTTTACATGCACATCAATGTCTAAGAAACATGTGTGTGCTGAATTTAATCAAGTACATTGTACCCTAAAACAGGACTGATTTGGTAAAATGAAATAAAAGTTTAGACCATTTGTTGACTGATAGAAATATAACTTTATTGCCAGTATTGCTATGCTGAGTGACATACTCCCACACCTGACAAGATTGTCCCCAATATTCCAGGTAAGAATCAGAGACTGATTTTTGTTGTTGAAATTATACAGTTCTTAAATTTCAATTGTGCATCAATACGTTATTTTTTTTTTCTTTGCAGAAGAAAAACACAGACATTACTCTCCTGGATATAGTAATAACCAACGCTATTATAACTATCAAACAACTCAAGTCTACTCATGGTACACATATGCTCAACTTAGAAAACTACATCAGTAAGGATTTGGGACAACACAGTATCACAGTGACAGAAAATCTACAGGAGCAGTTCATCTCCCATTACAGATTTTAATTGACCACTATGCTGAGGATGGTGAAACATTAAAACATGAGTATGCACTGCTGCAGAACATCATGACAACAACTCTTAGTGAACTGGGATACAGGGATGTGGTGGTCAAAAGCTATGGAGATGTTGTGCCAACTTTGCACCAACTAGCATCAATTGCTTTGACACTTCCAATTTCAACTGCTGGTGAGTAAAAAACACATTTCTTTATTATTAAACAATTATGGAACATGCATGCGACTGACTGTGAATTAACTACCTCATTTTTTTTTCTATACAGACTGTGAACATGGTTTTTCTGTTATTGGTAGAGTGAAGACCAAACTTAGAAACAGATTGTCTCAGAAGATTCTTCGTTGTCTGTTATACATAAGTGCAGAAGGCCCAGGTACCCAAGAGTTTAACTGCAGTAAGGCAGCCAATGTTTGGAGCACAGCAAAGTCAAGGAGGATTAGTTTAGACTCTTATGGAACAGTTCACATTAAATGATGATCTTGTCAAATTATGGTATATAATGTAAAGTATATGTAATTTAAATAAAGTCTCTCGTACATTTTACTACTGTCTTGTATGTTTGTTTTTGTGAGTGAATTTTGAAAAATATGCAAATTAGTATACAAATTAGTCCACCAAGCTTGCCTCTGAGCCTGGGGAGAACACTGAGAAAGCTTGGTCTTAAAAGTAAAATGTAAAATTGTATGTGACTGTATAGGTGACTTGGGACGAGCAAAAATGTTGTAGTCATTATTTGGTTTGTATTGTTATATATAGTTTGTAAAATGTGACTTTCAAATTACAAATTCCATAACTACATGTATAGTAAGATGTCTTAAGATCATTATATCAATGTGGGGTGTCATATCAACTTAGAGGGCACACTGCATATGATAGAGATTCCAACAAATGAGATTACCTTGTCACCACCATACACTTGGTTTTCTCTCAACACTTCTATACATGTACGGAGTGTCATCAGTGAAGCGTTGATATTACCAGCTTCTCTCAGACGATCACCAGAATTCTTTGTACGATTACTTCTCTCACTACCAGCTAAATCAACAAGTGATAACTGACTGATGCACACATGGTCTTTATCCTAATACAAAATAAATCACAGTTTATTACAATTGCTGATTTTACATTCACTGTGTGAAAGGCTCGGCCCGAATTTCTGCGACACTATTTGATTTTAGACTTGAATTTATTTATTATAGCTCAATGCCAATTTTTCAGTGTAGAACATAGAATTGACGCCAACTTCACCAAATCTGACCATCATTAAATTTGATGAAAACACCCCTCTAAATAATTTGTTAAATCGCACAAGGAATATTGACGTCACTGACATTCATTAGTCCTGTTCTTGCGTTCATTTCACGCATTACATGGAATCTTGCAGTGAGTAGAAAATGGTTTATTCACAAGAAGTTTTGAAATTGATTACAAATAGATTTGATTAGTGTTTGCATACCTGCACGACTTCTTCACCCAAGGTGTCCAATGGGGCTTGTACTAATCGAATATTGAATACACTATGACTTCGACTTGATTCCCTGTTGAGTTGGGTATTTGCAACACGTCGTCTTTTCTGACCTATTGTAATACAGAAGGATGTGAATGTACGAAACAACAACTATGTCAAACAATTTTGGATATAGCCAAAGCAAACAAAAATGAGTATCAGTGGAGAAATAAGCCAGGAAATAACTAATAGCTTCCAGTGTACCCCTTAGCCAAGTGCATACAAAGTTAATGGGTTTCAGTGTACCCTTAGGCAACCTTGCTTTACAACATACCTCTAAGAAAGACATCATATGCTTCATCTGAAGATTTGACTTCTATTTCACTGCATCCACTGATGTACATATTATGAGCGTTATCTTCTCTCAGCACTTTGGATTGCGGTGGTCTAAAAAACAAAGATGTAAAATTTAGTCACAAACCAGACCGTGTTTCAGGTGTTTCTAACTGAATAGTGGACATGGGTACTACTGTGACAATGTTTAACATAAATTTTAGGTAATTTGTGTCTTTATTTTCACACAAAACCATGTAACTTCCTAAATAAAATTTATTGTTAACAGCAGATCATGTTGGTAGATATTAATAAGAACCAATTTCTGCAAGGTAAGATTTTCAGCATTAATTTTAGCCAGGTCATCAATCATGAATACCCAGAGTTGCACAACTTCCCTTGTATTTAAAGTATCAGAAATTGTGAAATTGACATATACAATATGTGGCCTTGGATACATGCGACTATGGGAGAAAAATCAATGCAAAAAAAACCCCAAAAGGTTTTGCATGCAACTACTGGGAATTTAAAGTTTCACCTTTAAGGTGGAATAAGATTACAAAATCTGCTCAATAGAAGCAGAAATAACCTAAAAATGAATTAATTTTATTGTATCATAAGTACAACTTATTTTGATCATTGATACACACATTTACGCAAACACTACTAATAGAGAAAATACTGTAAATATATTCTATTATGCACAGTAAGTGTTATCCAATATATAATGCATGCAGCAGTCTCGTGCTTTAACAGAAATAAACACCATGTTAACACATCCACTGACCGTAACTTATAAACTGCACATTAATAGGCATGACAAATACTCCTAGAACTTGCAAAAAAAAAATGTGACTACATTTGAAAAAAAATGGGCTTTTCTCTCAAAACTATCAAACTAAGAAGATTAGTTATCATCTCCATGACAATGGGGAGTGTAACAAGTCATTGTCAATGACACGTCTCCGTCCGGTCATATTTGAGTGACATATACATTCAAAGCAGATCATGACCGAAATCTCAGACCACTTTCGGTTCCGGAATTGTGAAAATACGTGATTTTGATGCATTTTCGGCCTTAAAATGGCCATCATTCAGCTATTGTTAAGCGGATCATGAAACAAATGCACATATCTATTTGTGACATGATGTACCATGTGTGTGTGAAGTTTGAACTTGATCAATCCAGACATGTCTCGGATACGGATCCAAAACTGAATTCTTTAAAACAAAATGGCCACCAGTCGGCCATTTCGAACTTGATTCAGAAAAATAAAATGACGTGCATCAAGGTACTATTATGTTTAATGTATGTACCAAATTTGAACAAAATCCGTCCATGCATAACTGAGATCCGGAATGGTGAAAATGTGCGATTTTGATGCATTTCCGGCCTTAAAATGGCCGCTATTCGGCTATTGTTAATCGGGTCATGAAAATGCATGTGCATATGTCCCATATAATGTGTGATGTATGAGTGAAGTTTGAACTTAATCGGTACATGCATGTTCGAGATACAGGTGATCACGGACGCACGGATGCACATAGGGCAAACCAAGTCTAATAAACCACTTGACTAATAAAATAATGCAATCAAATCAGTCAAGTCAGTCCTAGTGTTCTGCTACATTCAAGTATTTGTATAAAGAGGTAATGAACTGTCGGCAGCAGAATCATGTTTCACCGTGCAGTAAATTCACCAAACAAGCTTTAGATGACTGACTAGCATCATATGCCAAGAACTAAACAATGTGGTGGTGTAGAAAATTACTGAAAATAATATCAGACACCATGTACATTGTGGAGATGAAGCTAAATGTATGAACACAGTACAAATGCATGGATTGCTACAAAAACATAAGTGCCTGGATTCCCAATCATGCAAGAAACTATGCTATTCACCTAATTCAGCAAACTCTAAGACAAACTCAGGCTGCTCACAGAAATGCACCATGAATTATGGTGAAATCTGAACAGACCTGGCATGGAACTGTGTTATGTGTAAATATGCAGGAAGGAGAAATGATACTGCAAAGATATCAACATACCAATAGGAAAAGCAATGTGATGTATTGAAAGTCTGTTGTTTTGTTCATAATGCTCTCAAGACATGAATGAAAGATGAATCCAGGTATAATGTGCAGTGTCCTTGTGGCTTGTAAGAAGTTTGTTGGCAGTTATTTCTCAACCATTTTTCACAAACTTTATTTTTAGAATAAATAAGCTTTCCAGGTTAATTTCAGTAAATGTTAACTCATTTCACACAATGCTCACTGACAAAATGCATGTTCTGATTTACTCAGACACTACCTACATTTAGACTAACATTTGTGATGTTTATTTATGTTATAGACTGATTTGGGTAAAAACCATGCAGAGGATATAGCAACACAAAATGACAGGCAGGACTGAAAGCTGAAATGGCATGGCATTTTTGGTAACACTTTATTTTTTCTATGATAGTACCATATTCGACTGCGTTGATGCCAAGTCATCTTACTAAGAAATGTAATTTTTAAAGAATGGGTGATTAGCTGAGAGCCAACTTCAGAAAATTGATAAAATATTAATTTTTGCTCATAATGCGCATATTATTTGTTTTAAAACAGGATAGAGAAATAAAATATTGTTTTGTGAAACAAGTTGCAGTGTCATCTATTTCAACAAATTTTTTATAATGAACAACAATGTGCCGATTTTATGAAAATATTATTTACGCAGAATTTAGAATGTAAAAATTATTAGGGCCTGTGGAAAAACAGTCAAAGTCAAGTTTAAAACAAGCAACCTGTCAGCTGAGATAGCTCCGCTGTTAGCAATGCACATTTCAATTAAAGAAGAGAAGATATCATTAGAAAATGAACAATATGTAGTGTTTTTAATAAGAATTCAAAAATATCACTTTTCACCAAAAATGACAAAAATGATCATCATAATTAGATAATTGAAGATATCACCACATGTAGTACCTATATATGTAATATCAAAGCAATCAGATATGCGTCTTTTTAGCAAGAAGTTGAAAATATCACTTTTTATCAAAAATATTCACGAAAATTAGAGAATTTAAGGTGGGTGTTGGTTGGGTGCTTGTTTGGACATGAGCATTACTATCGTTTCAGTCATTCTTTGAACGATTATGTTCAACCAAATATTGCTACACTACAGCAAGTTATTATCAACATTGTCGGTAAATGTACAGCAATTACTTCCAATGTTGTTGGAGTTGTTTTGCAACAATTAAGTTTGTTTTGATACATTCGCAACGTACCCAGATTTCAAGTCGCCACTCCACTGTTCAATCACGCACTCGTTGACTGTGACCGTCACATTTTGCTGACATAGCGAAAAGGGTCTTGTATCCCGATAATAAACAAACTCTACTTTGAATAAGTATT